GGTCGGACCGCGCGCGTGCGCTGCTTCAATTAATTGATTCTTTCGACCGCGCTCGGGTATCCAGCGCACCCATCAGCATCGAGACGCGCTGTTCGCCCGCCGCAGGACCGTCCGCCGGGTTACTTGCAGCTTGACTAAAGCGGCCAAAAGCTGGGGGGCCAGCAGCAGTCTGTGAAAATTGCTAAAATCCATCCTCCCACGACTGAATGTGGTGGCTGTCAAGAGGAGATATCGGACAGCGCATCACGAAAATCCTGCATGATGTTTGCACCCAGTACGTGATCCAGGATTCATGGGGCTGAGGTCCCTGGTCCGCTGGTCTGCATGGAGTACGCGATCAAGGTCTGGCAGCACACTATGCACAGCACGCGATGCAACAGCTACTCGCAATCATCGAAGACTCGCGCAACGCAGTGAGAGCTGCACGCGCTGCAGGGAAGCTCCTGTGGAGACGGCGGCACCTCGGCACACAGCAGCGCCGTTTTGCGAACTGTAGGGCGGCCACAGCGAGCGAGGAATCCCCGACCCCACCCATGCATGGCATGCAGCAGCTCTGCCTGCTGCTGCTGATGTTGCGGCGCCGTCTTGTAAGCTAGGCCAGGCTAGGCCAGTCAAGATCGAAAGCAAGGACCGGCATGACGGGTCAGAATTACATGCATGGTCTGACAGCCTAGCGTGTGAGGCATGCATATATCTGCAGCATCATATGAGCCGTTCTGCAGCACAAACGTACGGAATTATACAGGTTGACCATCACGAATCATCACAAATTGCGAATCTCGAATCTTGTGAGGTCGGCCATCCAGAGAATGCACCACGCGGCAGTCACCAGCGCAGTCACGATGCAATTAGTCGTACTTGAGCTCATCCTCCCAACCACGCTCATACGTACGGAATCGCATTCAATTGCCGTTCTTGTGGCGCAATTAATGAACTTTGACTTTAAGATGGGGTCGTCGCATGCATGGCACGCCTTGGAGCCTAATAGCTGTCTCACCCGGGCCATGAGCTGATCGCAATAACTCGTGCGGACGCTGTGATGCTGGCTGCCCGACTGCCCACGCGTGCAATTGCTGGCTCGCGACCAAGCGTGAGCAAGCAAACTGTCGACGTTTCCCTTCCACTTCCCCGCATCACCTTTGCTCTCCTGCTGCTCTTGCTCAGCTTCATTTACTACGGCAGTCACGAGTGTCTGCACTTGCGCCTGTTGTAGAGCTCTGCTGCGTTCGCATGCAGCTATAGCCGACGATACCGCCGCTTGCAGCTGCACCTTACTCTTAAACTGTCCTGCGAGTTTATTCAAACCCCGCTACCATTAGCCCGGAGTAGGGCTTGTCCCCCCTGCTGCGCCGTTCCTCCTGCGTGTCGTCGTGAGCTGTTCCTCGGCCCCAACGCCGTCTCATCTCGCCCAACATCGTTGGTTCCTCTTGTGTGCCTCTGCGTCTGCTCTTCTTTAGCACACCCCGCTCGTCGTCTCTCCCTTGTGGTCCTGAGGCAACCCCAAACCGCCGCTTCCCCACAATCGGCCCCTAACCTCTCGGTTCCTGCCTCCTCCATCCACAGTGCTACTGCAACAACTTGTCCATCCCCACGCAGTCTAGCAGAACGCCAAGCCTGGACCTAGTCTGCAGGCACGACGTCGCTGCTCCGACCATCAAGTCACATTCACGACTTCGAGCAATCAGGCAGGCGACTTGTGCAGCGCTCTTGCCTCCGGAGAATCATTGAGATTGAACTAGTGCCGTCTCGAGCCTGTTTGCGCTTCAAAGCTTGCACCCTCTTCATCCTGTACCACCCATCAAGGAAGGGGAAAAGAAAAGCAAGGTCAGCAGCTCTGCCTCAGGTCAGAACAGGCGCGAACCCAGGTTGCGTTTGCATCAGCCGCGCACGGCTTTATAAAGGCACACCACTGATCTCCATCACCGCCTGCCCCGGTCCCCCTCGTCCGCCATCTCCTCCCCCGTCATCTCCTACTGCCTTAGTTGTCCCCTAATCGGTCAAGACGGCAAGCGCTTTCCACACCTACGCCCAGCATGAAAGACATCACTAGCGGCCTATTCAAGCTCCCCACTCGGGAGGAGCGCGTCGCCAACAGGGCTGGTGCGCCCCTGAACCCGTTCAAGCTGATGGCCATGTTGACGCCCATGCAAGGAGCCATGTTTTTCAGCGGTTGGCTCGGTGAGTCTCTGACATGGATGGTCTCTCAAAGAAGTCTTGCACTGACGCTGTGTCGCACTGCTTTGCCCGCGATTCAGCATGGACGTGAGTAGGCAGAAGCCGCAGCAGTGCCCGCCCTCGCGCCAAAGCTCATTGCATTTGTTCCGCCCGTCAGTATGGATGCCATCGACTTTTTCTCCGTGTCGCTATCCGTCAACCGCCTCGTTGAATTCTTCGATAGAGATGCGCATACCATCACCACTTCGATCACTCTCACGTTACTCTTCCGTTCCTTGGGTGCCGTCGTTGCTGGTCTCATCTCTGATCGTTACGGCAGAAAGTGGCCTCTGGTCGTCAACCTCCTGCTCATCGGCGTGCTCTCGCTCGGTACCGGATTTACTCAGACCTTCCCCCAATTTCTGGCTGTGCGATGCTTGTTCGGCATTGCTATGGGTGGTATTTGGGGCATGGCGGTGAGTACTGGTCGTGGGTGCAGTCGATTTGGTGCCACCTTCCAACGTCTTTGTATGCCTGCTCTTTATCATTGCAGACTGCTACTGCTCTTGAGAACATGCCCGTGGCGCCTCGTGGACTATTCTCTGGTATTTTGCAGCAGGGCTACGCTGTCGGCTACCTCCTCGCCGCTTCCGTCAACCTGACTTGGGTTCACCGCACGGACAATTGGCGCATCCTCTTCTGGCTCGGGGCTGGCTTGTCAGCATTCGCAGCAATCGTCAGAGCTCTGTTGCCCGAATCCGAGCTCTTTGAACGTCAAAAGGCTGAACGCAAGGCAAATCCCAACACGACGACCGGAGAGAGTCCTGCCAAAATCTTCTGGCGCGAGACTGGTCAGATGCTCAAGACCCACTGGCCACGTGTCGTATATGGCATTCTTCTCATGACTGGGTTCAATTTCTTAAGTCATGTGAGTATGCCGTGGATAGTTGCAAGCGCTGATCGTGCGCTGACGATCGATCTGCACATCCGACTCTACCGCAGTCAAGTCAAGTGAGTCATTCCTCCAGAATATCCTGAAGGCTGCTAAGCGTGTTGGAGGTCCCAAGTATGCTCTAGCCGCGACTGCGGGTCCCGTTGCTGACGTTTGCACTCCATGTCCTTGTGTCTCAGGACTTGTATCCAACCATCATCCAGACTACCAAGCTTGCACGTTTGCCGACTTCCGAGGCCAGCGCGCTCGCAAGCAAAGCCACCATCATTGGCAATTGCGGCGCCGTTGCGGGAGGCCTGGTTGCAGGCTACATCAGTCAATTCCTCGGCCGTCGTCTGACCATCATCGTCTTTGTTTTGATGACTGGAGCGCTCATTCCCGCCTGGATTCTACCGACCAGCTTCTCGGGTCTTGCTGCCGGCGCATTCTGGATCCAATTCGGTGTGCAAGGCGCGTGGGGAGTCGTGCCCATCTTTCTCAGCGAGATCTCGCCTCCGGCTTTCCGCGCTACCTTTGCTGGAACAGCATACCAGATTGGTAACATGGTATCGTCAGCGTCGGCACAGATCGAAGCAACTGGAGGTGAACACAACCAGATCGCAAACCCTCGGTACAATCCGGCGCTACCAGTCTCATCAAAGAACGAGCTGACCATTCCGGATTACGCCAAGGTCTCTGCCATTCTGCTGGGAGTTGTCTGCGCCTACTTGATTGCGGTGGTCGTATTGGGTTTGCCCGAGCAACACGGCGCGCACTTCGAAGAGGCGCCAGTCGCCACTGTTGCACATGCTGGTGAGGTCAAGCCTGACGACCTGGAGAAGGGAGACCGCATCGACCAACACAGCTCAACGGAACACGTGGGAGACCGCGCCATTGATTCTAACGATAACAGCGAGAAGGGCTCGCAGAAGGGACACTAGTCGTGTCTTGCGCGCACGAACCGCGGCGAGCTCTTTTGTCCTCTTCCCTTGCTCGTCTTCACGTCATATCCAACACACATTCCACGACTTCCCCATGATGACAACTTGGCCCCGCACTCCTCTTGCAAGCCTGTGGCGTGCACGTCAAACGGCTGCTTTCACGATTTGTATCTCGTTGCTTGACCTTGGTGGGAGTCACGAATGTTCATGAGTTCTGGGAGCGATCCATACCTCTCACTGATTGGCGTGTGATGGTGCAAAGCTTGTTGCGGCGTGCTGTGCAACGAGCGAGCGAGCGATTTTGACGCAATAGCTTCCTGTAGCTGGTGGTGCTGCGAGTGGCTGCCGTTGAGACTCAGGCTTATGACTCACGACTTGATGCGGCTCACCTGCTTGCTTGCTTGCTTGCTTGCTTGCTTGCTTGCTTGCTTGCTTGCTTGCTTGCTTGCTTGCTTGCTTGCTGCAAGCTTGCAAGCGCCAAGACGCCGTCAGAAGTGTGCGCCGCGTCCTCCACACGCGCGTCCCGCGCCCCGCGCCCCGCCGCCGCTTCTGTTTCTGCGGCACGTGCAGCGAGCGATCATATTCTGCTGATGCGATTGGCAATTTTGGTGCGGTGCTTCAGAAGGAGATCCGCGCTCATCCTCATCCAACTTTAGCCTGTCGCGCGACAATTTTGGGTCGCGTTGATGCGGTGCCCGACACAGTAGTCACCAGTCTGCTGAGCCACAGTGCGATCCGGTCGCAGCCATAAGAGCTGTCTGTGCAAGGGCAATCGTTTGCTCATCACTGCGACTCTGCCGGTACCAGCAACACACTTGATCCTCACTTTGACGTGTACGCTGTCCTTCCATCCCGCTCGTTCCGACACGCTCAGCTTCGATGCATCACTGAAGGAAGGGCAAGCGCAAACTGCGTAATCCCATCAGCGACCTGCAAATCACTGGCTGCGAGAGCCCCTTGCGGCACTCGCAATGACTCGCACAACGGAGACTCGGCATTCTTCAGCCGGAAATGCCGCGGCCAATGATTCGGCCCCGAATGGCGCTGGGGACCCTCAGCTGGCACACATCGGGAACGATCAGGCGAGTGGCGTAAGCGACGAGAATGGACGAGGGATGAGTACATGCGAGCATGAGCATGCAGAGGCTGCGGGAGACGAGAGTGATGAGGATGTCATTGGCGCCGACAAACAGCAGCAGCAGCAGCAGCAGCA